TACTGAGAAGAGCTGGGAGATGCATACTGTTTTTTGAGTATATTGCAAGGTGCTTAACAAATGATCACCAGAACCCTTTTACAGACAGTTTTTGAAAAGCCAACTCTCCACACATCACAGAAACAACACTATCTCCTTCAGAGGACAGCACAATGGCTGCTCTCTACCATGACTTGTCCTCAGGGGAGCACTGTACATGAACAGTCTCTCAGCACAGGCCCTAAAGGGCAGAAGTCACTGATAATATGCCACGATGTCTTTTACATATCACTACTTTTTGAGCAGACAACTTCATTTAGAACAATAATGCCAGCTGGAACTCAACTTTACACCCCCTTTAAGTTGTGGATACTTTATTTATCTGTTTTATTCTATTTAGAAGTACTATTTCATTTGAGCACCTTCATGTGGTCTTGGGTTTATGCCATGTATAGTCAGTGCTCCAAATGGAGAAAAATATTTCAGTGGTCTCAAGCTCAGCAGGAGCCAGGAATCATTGCTTGGTCATTTTACCTGTGATAGTTCATTAAGCTGATCCCAACAAAGCTACAGTTCCTGTTGGAACAGTGGAACAAAATTCCTCAGGAAGAGCTATGACATGCAGAGGAATAACAGTGAACATCAGTAATTTTCCATTAAGTACTAGGCAACTTATTTCACAGGAGCAGGGAGTTAACTGCCTCAGGAGGAATGGCCTGCTGCACAGAGCCTGCTCTTCTGTAAGACCACTGCATCTGAAATCATCCTTCACAAATAAAAAAGTAACTGAGTATGCAAACCCCAAGAACTACACATAACACTTTAGGAGATACATAGAAAGGCAGCACTGGGAAACAGACAATTTTAAACAAATGTTATATTCTAGATTTACAATTCATTATCACACTGTTACTGCATAGCAAGATATAGAAGGCAGTTTCAATGAAAAGCATAACTCCTAACACAAATGACCTTGATACTTTTGTCAGAGATTCAAGATGAAATTGGAAGCTCTGCTGAACACAAACATGGCCCAGCTCAGTTCAGCATATGCTGAGTGCCCTGGCCATAACATTCTACTGTGTGCTCCCTGTGGATCATCACAGGAGGGGGTGATATATCCTTGCTTTAGGAGTTACCCATCAGTTAAGCACCCCTAAATCCTGACATCCATGTTAACTTAATGACTGCTATAAAAAGGGTACACGTTGTTCTGTAAATTGGAATCAAATGAACAATCATGCTACACAGGAAGGGATGACTAAGCCACATAAACAAACTGATAGCTTAGCTTTCTGAAGGGAGATTTTACTTGATTAAATTATTCCCTTGAATTACTTGACCTATCCTAAACCCCATAAAAGCATTTCAAATTGTCAATCCCCCCACATGTACAGCTTTTAACATCTCTAATTTCATGTGTGCATAATATTCATACCATTTTTCCTATAAAAGAGTTGAGAGCTGAAGCTAGAGCTGCTTCTATCCCCCTTCCTCCCCTACTGAAGACAAAATATCAAAATCATTAAAGACCCTCCCACACAAAAAAAAAGGAACATATGGAGACAAAACTATCAGCTTATAAAGTTCTTTGCAGAAGTGTAAAGATACAGGAGCAAGATTCCTTCCTACTGAAATCAGTGACACTTTAGGCATTGGCTGAAATTAAAGCCAACTCTGTCCTTATTTCTCACAGAGTGTCAGTTTGATAAGAAATGGCAGTCAGTGCAAGAATACTGAGCAGCCACTGGTTTCCAGATTGGAGTTATCAGTGCTCTGTACTTGCACAGCACGAATAACAAAACCTCACAGAGAACTCACTGTGAGAAAAATCCATTTAATTTTCATCTTTCCTTTACCATCTTAAAGATGTATGAAATATCTGAAACCAAGATAATGAACAAAACTACATAAAGAAAAAGTGTCCAACAGAGACTAGGACCCATGTTCACAAAGGTGTAGTTCCTCTGGCCTAAGGACACATAAGCATCTGAGACCTTCAATAATCTCAGTTGCAATCCTGTGCTGATAATTGCTGGGGAGAAATTTCTATAGCCAACATTTTTCAAATGACTATAAAACTTATCTTTAAGAGTAAGATTTAGGAGACTAATCAGCCCTTCTGTATTGATTAAAAAAATATTGAAAACTATCTCCGTTTTTCAGAGAAGCATTAAAGCCAGTGATTTATTTTGCTATCCAATTCAGCTGAAACTCATCACTATCTCTGGAGTAAGAGGTACACATTGTTTAGCATTCAAATCAGGTTTTTTTTCCCCTGAAACACAAGCCCAGGTTCCCAACCTCAGTGGCTGTAAACAGCTGTGAATGAGCCAATGCAGGGCTGCCTTCCCAGGTTTGCCAAGACCTCTGCTCTCTGCCATCCTCTAACAGCTGCAGTATTGAGGAGACCAGGCTGCTCCACGCTGCCTTTCAGAACCCCCAGGACAGCAGCCAAGCAGAGAAACACTCTTACTCCCCTTTCTCCTCAGTACCAGGCTGACTTGCAGAAGCAGAATCTAGAATAATTCCCACAGGAGATGAATCTAAAAAGCAAAGAAATATTTTATTTTACCAAACAGTTCCTTTCACCAGCTGAGTGAAGGATGCTCCAAAAAAAAACCCTGCTTCTTAGTGGCACATATGGAAGCTGGATGCCTTGGATGTGCTCCAAGCACAGTAGTCTGCTGAGAGTCCCTGAATGTCACCAGCAGCTGGGACAGGTTTCACCATCAGGGCTGTGCCCTCCTGTGCCACATCTCTCCCCAGCAGCCTCTGGGTAATGAATGGCACTCATAAAAGCATTCACCTCATAATTCAATACTACAGGAAGCCCTTGGTTCAATGGGCATCTCCACACTTCCTTTATTTACAGTTTGGGCAAATGGCTCATTTTAGGAGGTCTAAGCACCAGAAATACACATTTGTATTGCCTTTAAGCACAACTCTTATAATACTGCATTGAATCCTCTATCAATAAAAAACTACAAAAGAATCATTAAGGATGGCAGCTAGCTCTCCTTTATGGTTTTATCAAGACAACAATTTGTTTGGCTTCAACATAGAGCAAAGAAAAAAAAACGGCTTAGGTCTGTCAAAACATTCTTTGACTGCTGAAGTCCCTCAGAAAAATCCAGATTTCATGTTTGCCAGCCTAATTAAAACTGTTAGTTGCACCTCAGAAATGGCAGATGATTCTTATGGAATCATCCACTAAGTAAAGAAATAATGATTGCTGCTCAAAATATTTTAGGACACAATTTTTGTGTCACAAAGAGATAGAAAATATTTTTCTTTACAAAATAACACAACGGACTGTGCTTAGTTCCCAAAGGCCTGTTTCTTCCATGACTACGTTTTCAGAGTAGTTTTTGTTATCTCCTTTCTATGCATGCAGAGAGAATCCAACAACTTACACATTGTACAAGATCTGCTAACGTGAGGCAGGACTCCAGAAAGATATATTTAAATATTTGAAATTAATACTACTTTATTTGACTTTAAGCCCCTGAAGAAGGGCTCATTACCGCAGCACTGCTGTTAGGTGGAATTATAAGAGGAAAGAACCAGCTATTTTATCTAGCCATAGGCAGGAAAATCATCACAATTAGCTACAGGAGGAACGGTGAAGTCACCCAGGGAGTTCCTGAAGGCTGCACTTTGGGAAGGGCCTCGTTCCTTTCCTCTGAACCATGTAGAAAAGTCTGGGTTCTAGACTAGGTAATTAGAAGCAAATCAAATAAGCCATAAGTACAGTCTGGTCAGAGTACAGTCACCAATCCCAAATAGTTTTTAATACTCCACTTCATTAGAATAAAGGAAATATGACACAACTTGAATCAGTTCAACTGCTCACATGCATTGAATACTAGGCATGGAAGATGCAAGCCAGATGAAGAAAAATTTTCAAGCCCTCTGCAAGAATTTATGACAAAAGTCTTTACAGCCAGACCAGTTTTCTCTGTTCTAACCTGTGGTTTGCTTGGAAATCATAAGTTTAGGAAAAGTCACAGAATCTCCTGAGCTGAAAGGGACCTAGAGGGATCATCAAGTCCAAGTCCCGTTTCTGCACAGGACAGCCCCAAAAATCACATCATGTGCCTGAGAGCATTGTCCCAACACTTCCTGAACACACAGGGAAGTAACGCTGTGATCACTGCCCTGGGGAGCCTGGTCAGTGCCTGATCACTCTCTGATACCCAGCCTAAACCTCCCTGACACAGTTTCATGCTGCTCCCTCGGCTCCTGTGACTGGTCAAAGTGGTTAAGTTAGTTTAATCTGTTTGCAGTAAGGATGGCTTCCTTTCCTGACAGGGAGCTTTGGGTTCCTCTGGGACATGAGATCAAAGAGCTGCCCTCCTCCTGTTCTCTCTCCCTGCTCCACTGATCAGTACATGCAGGTCTTTATCAACGGACTGAATGAAATTGTCCATAGACAATTACATCATTAGTAAAAAGACAGATGCCCAAATCCTTGTTCTTTTAAAGTAAACAATGCCACACTCTAAAATAAAAACCACATGGGATCTCGGCTTAAAAGCTGATAAAAATCAGCATGCAGGAAATATTCTGGGAGAAAAAAAAAAAAAAAAAAAGACGTAGGGAAGCAAGAACTTCCCAGCAACAAAGGAAACGTCAGCGTAGTACGAAAGACTCCAAACCTGCCGCAAAGTAAGCAGAGACAGATCTCAATTCCCTGTCCAAGGTGACGGCACCTGGGAGGCACAGGCAGGGATGCTGCCCTGGCCCTCAGCTGCCCGGAGTGAGAGCGGGCTGGGGGCTCTGCAGGACCCCTCAGGAGACCGGGCTCCGCCGAGGCGGCCGGGAGGCACCGCCGGGGGCTCTGCCGGGGCTGGCTCCCACCAGCTGCCCCGGGGGAGCGGCCCCG